AGAGAAAAACAAGGGTCGTTCAAGAAAATCACGGCAGCATGTGGAGCATAAGCTGTACGTGCTGTTTTGACAAAGGTTAAGTGCAGGTGCGCCGGGGCGCGACCAGCTCCACATGTGTGCCTTTAACAAGCTGGGCAGGGCCACGGTTGCCATCGACACGCCTCAGGCCAGAGTTTTGAAGCTGAAAGCACTTTGTCTGTCAAGGAACCCTCAGCGGTGCTGTGTTTTAAACAGGCTACTATTTGTTAGCAGTTTTTTTTTTAGAGTTTTGTGTCGCCACCTACTGTGTTCAGTAGTCACACCTCCTGCTCACATGTACGTGAGCCTGATCACACACTAACAGACAGATGTTTTTGGTTGTAGCTCTTACTCACCTAAGAGTGTCAGTATTTTGTTGGAAGCCTTCTCTCCACCTCTCCTTTTGATCTTCACATCAGTGACAGAATGACTGCAGCACTTCATTCTAACAGCCACTGAGGAGGCTTTTAACATCATCACAGAAGCTTCACAGATGCTGCCATTCACATATACTCACAAGAGACTCATAAGAAGCCACACTTATTTCCAAGATTGCAAGGGGCCAAATGTCTATATATAATCCAGAGGACGTATGAAGTGGAAGTTCGTAGAAGCCTTCTGTGTCTTAAGCCAACACATGCTTTTTGTATCGACCCTGCAGGAGAGCTCACCGACCGTCTGCATGCAGCCCAAGTTTGGGGTCACGCAGATTGTCTGCACTACAAGCACACCAACTGTGCATGTGGCAGGAAAGCAAGCTGTGCTGAGACTGTACAAGGAGAGTCTCCGTCATCCACTCCTTTACAATTCATCATGAACACCGTTTTGAGTCGCTGCCGCACTTTGGAGGAGCTTCGAACATGATTTCCATCACTGTGCACAAACAGTAGGAAGTCCTCACCTCTTCACAAATCCTATGCTTTGTTTGTTTCTCAGATGTTGTTTTGGACTGTTCCTCCGTGTCCATAGGGCGGGAATCAGAGCAGGGCACAACGTACAACACTTCAGCATCATAGCAACTGAATTTATTCATAAGTGACCCAGAAATCCAGTGTGACCTGATTTAAGCTGCAGATTGTAAGAACAGCAGCCATTAGCACACGGCTCACTGTACGCTCTGTGATTAAATGCTTCCTGCAGAGATGCACCTCCAGCCTCCAGAGTTAGTGTGTGTTCAGGCAGATACCTCCATCTGAGATGTGGGTAGATGTATGAAGGACAGTGTACCGTGTGACTTTCCGTTGCATCTCGACTGTTGTGTCTCCATGCTGAGGATAATTTCTAATTACAAGTTATTAATGGCGTTACCACTGCTGCTGTTTCACGTGACAGATGTGTGCAGCTGTCTGGCTTTGGAAGCACGTATGTGTCTGATGTCAGTATTACATGAACTCAGACAAAAAACTGTCTCTGTGATGTTTGTGGACAAGGATTGGATGTGAAAAGCCTTCCTTAAATCACTCAGCACAGCTTAAGGCTGCTTGAACACGTCTTTCTGCTAATGTGCCTGACTGCAGTTCAGACTTGTGCCGTGTTTGAAGCGAGACGTTCCTCCATCCGACTGACTTGGATCGCATTTGAGAGCTGGAACCACTGAAGGACAGAATCAGCTGGCGTCACACGGGCTTTGCTTTGATCTTGTGTTGAGTATGTTTGTCTCAAAATTGAATTGTGTTTCTTACATGTTGTGCATATAGCTTCCTGCATGGCCCATAGCAGGGTCCGTTTCTTGTGTCCGCTTCTGAATTCTTTCAGAAGTCACCTTTCATTCCAAACACTGAGGTTGTTGGTGGAAAGGCCACCAGCACTCACGAGGTTCAGTGTCAACACCTCTTTATGAAAATGTTTTCTGTCTGTTTTAACGTTCTCTTTTATCTGCTGGTTTCGGTCACTTACTGGGAAGAACAAGAACAGGTTGAAGGAATCGTTAACACTCACAGAAAGGTCACAGAGGCTGACCTCAGACATCTGTGGGCCCTTTACAGGGATAGAGCCATAAAGAGGCCCAGTCAGTCCTGGCCGACAGCAGCCGTCCTCTGTTTGGCTTGTTTCAGCTCCTGTCCCACATACAGCCAACACACTAAAACACTGCTACTGCTGTCTGTGTGATTTCATATGATGTATTTTAACCTTATTTTGTCTTTAGCTGATGATGATTTTATCACATTAATCTGTTTTCCTGTGTACTTCAGGACAAGAGATAATAAAGATTACCCTCAAACTTCAACTCAGCCGTGAGCATAAGCTACTGGATGTAGTATTACAGCTTCTGGATCAATAGCATTGTGGGAAATGCCACTGACAAGCTTTTATGTTTATGACCTCCTTGTGTGTTGTCATCCAAACCTTGACTGGGCCTCTCCTGAACCTTGGTTTTGTACTTTCTGAGTCATTCAGAGGTGGACTTGTTGTGTGTTTTAGGTGGTTGTCCTGCTGCATGACCTGTTTGCGTTTAGGTCATGAATAGATATGAATAGAGCAGAATTCATGGCTCCATCGGTTATGAGCCCACGTCCTGTGGAAGCACAGCAGCCCTGAACATCACACCAGCACCATGTTTCACTGTCGGTACGATGGTCTTCTTGTGGAATGCAGTTAGCTTCAGACCCATTACTTCCAAAAAGTCCACAGCATGTTATCACAGAAGTCCAGGGGCTCATTCAGGTACTTTTTTGCAAATGCAGGATGAGCCTTTATGTTCCTTCTGGTCAGGAGAGGTTTGCACCTTCTAGCCCTCACATGGATGCTGTTGGTCTCAGTGTCTTCCTTATTGTGGAGTCACTGGCCTCAGTGAAGGTCAGTCAGAGGCCTGCAGTGCTGTTGATGTTCGTCTGGGTTCTTTAGTGGCCTTCTGGATGAGATGTCGACGTGATCTTTTCTCGGAGCAGGTTTAGTTGGTGGCCACTCCTGGTGGTTCCCCTCTGTTCCTTGTTTTCTCCGTGAGTGGATGACGTCTCTCACTGTGGTTCTGTGGAGTCCCAGAGCCTCAGCAGTGACTCTGTAACCCTCCACACTGATGGATGTCAGTGACTTGGTTTCACATCTGTTCTCGAAGCTGCTTCTTGAGACCCTTCAGCTACTTCACAATGCCAGACAGGCTGTATTTAGAGATGTTTAGATCCAACAAGCCTGGCAGTGAGCCTACGTGGGTGTGGCTGCTGAAGCTGAACCCAGCTGACAATGAATTTGGTAGACTGGTAGCTCAGGGGGCGATTAGTGTTTCACACAGGTCAAGGGGGAGCTGGATCATTTTTCCTTTGGTAAATGAAATCAATATTTAAAAACTGCATTTTGTGTTTTCTTGGGCCACATTTGTCTGATTAAAATAACTTTGTTGATGTGAAACATTGAAGTGTGACAGATGAAGTAACCGATATCTGGGGGCAAACACTTCCTCACAGCACTGGACAACTTTTTGTACGTCACGTGTTGGTTCTTTTATATATCTGTTGTAGGTCTTCTGAATATATGACAGAATCTGCTGGGGCGAAAATATAAACATACAGCAGTGCTAGTATTTGGTAAATGTCCCTTTGGCCATTTTCACCTTAACTGGGCTCCACAATTTTTACACCTGTGGACTGGCATGAAGAAACAAGTCTGCCAGAAAGCCAAGCAGTTGAATTAATCTGTGACAAGTCCGCCAAAGAGCGTGTCAAAGATACAACCAGCAGCTTGTAGACGGCTACCAACAGCACCTAGTGGAGGTAAAAATGGTTAAGTGACGTTTAACCAAACACTAGCGTTGTGTGTTTTGTTTGTTAAGTGGACGTTTGTTCACTCATGTATATTTAGGAAAGTATTTGACATGTCACAGATTTTAAATATTCATCATCCTAAAAAAGTTTCAATCAAATCTGAGTTGGCCTGAGCAATAGGCCCAAGTGATCTGAGATGAACAACACATTAATGTGGTAGGGCAGGACTTTGGAGATCTAATTCATTGACTGAGATTCATTTTAGTGTCGCCCAAAATTCATTTCTATCTTCCTCTGTTGTTTTAGGAAAGTTCGATCAGTCGTACGACTAAGCAAGTTAAAATATGTCCACATATGTGCCTTCCTCTTCCATGCACAACGTACTGTCTGCAGCAGATTGTGCTGCAACCATCTTCAGATTTGCTATAAGCAGTGCAATGTCTTTGAATGTGGTTTTGGTGACTTTATTCTAATGAATTATCTAATTTCGTCTTGTCCGTTTGGTTGGATGAATGTGGTTTAGCTTGAATATTTCAGTACAGCTGTGTGTACTGTAGTAGTAACGGTACCGTAGTCCTGTCGTCTTCTTGGTAGGTCAGAGTGAGAAAGTCTCCAGTTGAACTGGTCCCATTGTTGGTGGTCATGTCCCCTTTGGAAACATTATGTTTTTAATGCAGGCGTCTGTATGTTTAAAAAAAAAATCCAGCTTTCAATCAAGTTTGGGGGATATTGTAAAATATCAGCATAAAGTTACTGAAACAGATTTGTTGTGCAATAAAATACACTCGGCTTAAAATCACCAACTCTGCTTTTTATCTCTTCATTCAATTTTTTCTTAATGAATCTGATTCAGAACTTGCTGGCAGTGTGTCCTGGCAATTTGATGAGAGGCCACTTGTTATAGCCACACAAATACTTACTGAGAAAATGAAGCTGTCTGTGTGAGCCATATATATATATATATATATATACACATGCTGAACAGTGAAGCCAAAAGTTTATCTAGCCACTTATTTTTTTATATAAAGGTAGAATATGTCACAGAATACCGTTATAAGTACAGCATTGTGGTGCTACAGAGATGCCTTTGTCTACAGAACGTATTTTAACATGTCAGAGAACATGCGTGTGCACCAGTGTGGATCTATAGTGAGCTGTTGTGCTCTACAGGCAGCCGTCTGGACTGACATGTCAACCCAGCCCCATTTGTCTCGTATGGCACAATCCACAGTTTGGTAGATGATCTGTTTGTTCAACTTGTGTTTCCTCTTTGTTTCCTTCCAGCCACCAGACCCAGACGACATGCTGGGACCATCCCAAGATGGCTGAGCTCTACCAGTCTCTGGGTAAGACACACGTTCTCTCTGCTGCTGTGCTGCTAAAAAGAGCTCATGGAAGTTTTTAACATCGAATCATGATCAATTTCATTTGGCTTTTATGACAAGGATTTACTGGGGAAAAAAACAATACTCATGTCAAAATGAGAGTTTTATCCAAAGTAATGTCAGTTAAGTCAAACTATAAACTATATCCACCATTTTTAAAGTGGCTCACCTCATTGGACACAGTGCACAGGAGCTCACAAGCACTGGTGGCTGAGCTGGGAGAGACTGCACAGCTGTCCAGGCTGTTCACCAGTCAAGCTTTATGCGGAAGTCGCAGAAAGAGTCACTGCTGAAAATAGCTCGTATTAAGTCTGGACCAGAGTTCATCAGATGGTATGTGGGAAACTCTAAAGTCTGCTGGAAGAAGGTTCTTTAGTCTGAGGAGACCAAAGTTGAGCTTGTTGGCCATCAGACGAGACGCTGTGTTTGGCAAACATCAAGCAGCGTCCTGAACACGCCGTCCCCTCCATGTGGTGAGGTGTTGGTAGCATCATGAAGAGGGGATGGTTCTCAACAGCAATTCCTGGAAGGCTTCTACAGTTAGAGGGGTCAAATACATGCAGGAAACTATGATATAACCTGAGTAAAGGTTTGTTTTCCAGCAAGACAGTGAGCAGAAGTGCACAGGTGTTGTGTCTGAGCTGCAGACCACGGTTTGGGATTTGGAAAGTGAACGTGCATCATGGACCAGATACAGACGTGTCTCACGGTGATTAGATCGAATGTGCGACACATGTTCTGGCGAATGCAGAGACTAGACACAGTCAAAGTTTAGCAGCTGATTCACAGGATTTCCACAACATACAGCAACACAGGGAGGACCTGGGACTGGGGCGGGAGCGACACTCGCTGGGAGAAGCAGGGTATTACAGGAATACAAATTCAAGTTACAGTGGATCTATGGAAGCCCAGGAGGGACACTAAGCTGGAAACGCAAGTCACAAAAGCTACGAATTTGTAAGGTCAAGCTGAACAAGAACTAACAAGGACCAGGTGGCTGGTAGCAGGCTGGGAAGGTTGTACAGGAACACGGACACAAGAATTCACACATAGACAGCGTGAAGTCAAAGTGGTGGCCAGTCGCACACGCCACCGGCAGACAAACAGAATTCTAAGGTTGCAAAGTACTGAACAGGACAGCAGATGTTAGAGAGGGTCAACAACAGACCAGAGACTCGACTGAAGCTTTTCTGACCAGTGCTAGATCATGAACAGGTGAGCCACCCCCCGCCACAGGTGTCCTCATTCAGCTGGTTCTCCATCAGACCTGCTCAGGGGACAGCACACACCTCACTCTGCCCACGGGGGGAAGGGGGCAAAGGAGAGGTGCCAGCTAAGCAGAGGGGGAGGTGGAGGGCACGACAACACAACCTTGTTTTTACTCTATAAAGTACCGTTAGCAGGCCCGTTAGCAGACACGTTAGCAGACACGTTAGCAGACCTGTTAGCAGGCCCGTTAGCAGGCCCGTTAGCAGAACCGTTAGCAGACCCGTTAGCGTCAGAGCTTATCGATGTTTGGGGCTCGGTACCCGTCACTACTAAATACACACTCCAAAGGGGTGAATACTAATTCAGTCACTTATTTTATGCTTTTAACGGATGTGCGTTACTTTGTCGAAGTCAGTTGTCATTTTGGCAGTAAAAATCTTCTTTAAATTGTGCACTCTTGTCAAAACAGCCTCATTTAATTGATCATCATTCAACGTTAAAAAGCAGTAAAGAGGACAACTTTCAAGGAAGTGAACACTTCTTATAGGTGCTCTAAATCCAACCTGTCTGCTGATGCAGTCATGAAAGGCTTCACAGTGACACAGAACAACTTCACAGCACATCTGATCGTCAGTGGAGATGAAACGAGGACATTATGAGTTAATTTTAGTTGAGCCAGGAGAAGCAGCACCATTAGTTAAAGTTAAATTAATGATGAAAGTATTAAATCTCACTGTCTTCTTTCTCTTGATGTGTTTCCTTCTCCAGCTGACCTGAACAATGTTCGGTTCTCAGCCTACCGCACAGCCATGAAGCTCAGACGCCTGCAGAAGGCTCTCTGCTGTGAGTACGCCGTCTATCTATAGTTTATACGTGTATGCATATGTATAGCTCTCCTCTAGGTTCAAGTCCTCTCCTCTTGTCACGAGTGCTCCTCTCGTTGTGTTCAGCCCTCCCACACGCCTCCTTTGGTCTTTTTTCCGGCATCACTCTTCCTTTATTTAATCCACCTCATTTGCTGTCGCTCTGTTTTTTAACGTCTTCTCTTTACTTCCTGCTGTGAGGATGCTTTGTCTCTCTTCCTCCTCTTTATTTCTCAGTACTATTACCTTCTCTCACTGTGTGTGTGTATGTGTGTGTGTGTGTGTGTGTGTATGTGTGTGTGTGTGTGTTAAGTTGTGCAGCACTGTTTAGTGAGACGCTTCCTTTCCTTCATGTCGGTCAATACATGTGTCATAAAAAAATAAATAAAATTACATTTTTAAAAGACAAAGGGAGACGACAAAAAAGTCTTACAATACGATTTTTAAAAAATAGAACAAATAAAAATGTGTAATGTGAATAAAAGCAAAGCTGCACGAATCACCTCATTTATGTAAAGAACTGGTCGAATAATAAAGTCGATTGTGATTCATGCTCCAGAGTTTTAGCCACCAATCTGCAGCTTCTCTCATATCTAATGAGCCTTATTTAGTTTGTAGTTTCAGGTCATGCTGCCCACAGCTTGACTCACTTGCTTGATGCTCGGGGCTCTTGTTAGTTCCTGTTTCCTGCTTAACACCAAACCAACAGTTTGCTGCTGACTGAAAAGTAGGAGTGTGTGAGCATCAACATGCCTACAGCTGGACAGTGGTGCTGCTCTGTGTCTGGACTGACCAGTGGGTTAGCGTGTTAGCCAACCAGTTAGCAACAGTTTACTGCTTTTTGATTTGGCAATATGTTGGCAAAGCAAAAAGCAGTTTTAAGTGAAACCACAAACTTCATTATATCCAGTTTATCAAGAAGACTTTTTCAGGCGTGCACCATGTAAGTCATCTGAAATGTCCTCATCCTCAGACAGGTTGTAGGATGAAGTGTCTCAGGATAAACAATCCTCCCTCTTGTCCTTTAGTGGACCTTTTGAATTACAAAGATGAACCATGTGGTGTTGTGGTACCTTCAGAGTTGACGTTGGACTACGGAGCAGCTTCCAGCTCAGTGATGCTTTGATCATGGAGGTTCTGAACCCAGTTATTCTGCTCAACCTCAGCACAGCAGTCACGTGTGCATGTCTGCTCTCTTTGTGCCTCTCTGTGTTCAGTGGACCTGCTGAGCATGCCGATGGCGTGTGAGGTGTTCGACCAACACGGGCTGAAGCAGAACGAGCAGCTGCTGGACATCTCCCAGCTGGTCACCTGTCTGACCAGTCTGTACCAGCGGCTGGAGCAGAGCCACTCCCACCTGGTCAGCGTGCCACTGTGTGTCGACATGTGCCTCAACTGGCTTCTCAACGTCTACGACACGTAAGTGCTGCATGCTCACCACGTGCACTGGAGTGTCACTGTTTGTGGGGAGGTTTATCTAACATGTTGTTTTGCTGGTTGACAGCGGTCGTACCGGAAAGATCAGGACTCTGTCATTCAAAACTGGAATCATATCGCTCTGCAAGGCACACCTGGAGGATAAATACCGATGTAAGTCAGTGCAATACGTTTAAGTATCGCGTCTGTATGTCACCATGTTGCCAAAAATAGTGGCGAAGAAAATAGGTTGGTCATTTTAGTTATGTTCAGATGCATATGTTTTAGAGTGAAAGTGATTTAGCAAGTAGTCAACTGACCAGAGAAGTGATTTGGCACCAGAATGAATTAGGTTTAGGACTTTCTGTTATCGTTTGTGTCTCCTAATGGAAGGATTAGCACCACAGCATGTATGGCAGCTCTTCACCAGGCTGTGCTGCTGCAGCTCAGCACCTTTCACCAGCTGTGTTCAGCGGATACATGTTTGACTTAAATGCATTATGTTTTATGGCACAACACTAGAAAAACTATTTTAGATGATTTTGCTGGTGATGAGCTTACCTTAAAAGTTATTTTAAAATGTGCTCGTACAAGCTCAGTTTGTGGGGTCACGTCTGTACGATGAAGCCCATCTCTGCTGCTAACCAGCTGAAGGAAACCATATGTTTAGAACTTCTTCACGGTGAAACAGGAGAGATGTAGTTTTTAAGAGTTAAACTTTCTGAACCCTGAGCAGCTTCTCGGCGTTTCTTTGCTCCAGTAACACGTTTACTGACTGTGGGCTCATTCTTCAGTGCAGTAAAGTCCTGTGCGTCTATGGAAACAGCACGTCGCTGTCAGGACTTCACTGGGGTAGTCGTGGCCAAGTTCTGGTACCATCTCACCCAAACAAGTGTTCTTGGTCTAACCAAATAATGTGCTCCCATAATTCATGAGGCTTCCTTTCATTTTCTGTAGCGTTAGACTGAGCAAGTCATTTTACTGTGACTTTGGCTCGTCGTATATCTGCTGCTGTTGGTGTTCAGGCCCTCATCTCCTCCTTCTGTCCTCACCTTCATGCTCTTTCCTATCTTCCCTTCTCTGTCTGTGTTGTGGCCTCCATTGTTAAAAAATCTTCTCCCACCTTTCTGATTTCACCTCTCATCCTTCCTCTGCCTCTTCCTCTCCTCCTCCAGTCTTGTTCCGTCAGGTCGCCAGTGCCACAGGCTTCTGTGACCAGCGTCGCCTGGGCCTCCTCCTCCACGACTCCATCCAGATCCCCCGGCAGCTCGGCGAGGTCGCCTCCTTTGGCGGCTCCAACATCGAGCCCTCCGTCCGCAGCTGCTTCCAGTTTGTACGTCACACACTCAAAGTGCTCGGTTCTGAGTTAGCAGTCTGGTAGATGTACTCACCAGTAGTCAGGACTGTCCAACGCTGTCATGGTCTGCATGTCCATTTGCACTCCGGATGAAGACCATGTACTCGTGCAGTGTGTGTTCACGTCAGGCTGAATCAGGATTATTTACAGAAAGAACTCAGACACTGAGAATGTTGCAGGAAATTCGAAGGGAAAACACTGAAGGATAGTAACAACAACCAGGAGAACAAGTGCCTCTCCAGTAGACCAGGTCAGACACTAAGCGAGAGCATCTCTGTGTGAATTTCAGCATCATGCAGCTAATCCGGTAGCATGCAGGACTTCAGCAAAGATTCCCAGTAATCTGCCTGAATTATTCCTGATCTTCAAAACATGATCCAGCCTTTAAATGTTTGGAGTCCCTAATTGGAACGCCAAATTGACTTTCTTCCTCCGACATTGTCAATGCAAAACTACTGACTCGTGTTGGACAAAGGGAGTGCTGCAGAAATTAATAGTTTAATGAAGTCCTCTGAATGTTCAGTCATAGCCCAGGAAGCCTGACGAGGCAGCTGTGGATACCCAGCCGCTACGAGCACCTCCACATCCTGTACCAGCCCCTTAACGCTTTTAAAATGCATTCAAACGCTGACAGTAGTGCAGTAGGAGTGTTTGCACAGCTGTTGACATTGCCACGTCGTCTGGCAGGACAGATCAAGAACTTTTAAGATTTTCTCTATAATAAAATAGATACTGCATTTCTCTGGCTCACTGTAGCATGAACAGGTTCTTTACAGATGTGTCCAACTTACCTCTAGCAGATAAAAAAGCTTTCAATAATGTAATCAATTCTGATATAAGCAAGATTCGTGTATGATTTGTGAAGGATGCTTCCTCTCATGTTGTGTTTCCCAGGCCAACAACAAACCTGAACTGGAGGCCGCCATGTTCCTGGACTGGATGCGTCTGGAGCCCCAGTCCATGGTGTGGCTGCCCGTCCTGCACCGCGTCGCCGCCGCAGAGACCGCCAAACACCAGGCCAAGTGCAACATCTGCAAGGAGTGTCCCATCATAGGTTTCAGGTCGGTGTTCATGTCAGCGCTACCGCATTCTGCTTTTGTCTGAGCTGTTCTGACGTACGGTCCACCAGGAATCTAGGTGTTGAGCCGCAAATCTCAGTGTCGGATCAGAAAGGAGGTGAAACTTTTGTGATTTTGCTGCATAAAAGGGGATTAAACAAAAGTATTTAATCTTCACCTAAGAAAAGAAATAACCATGAGAGTTATGCTTCTGTATGATGCAGCACCGAAGGAATTCAACTGATTTACCTTCACACAGGACATCTTGTGTGTCATATATCAAAGTCCAGTCTAGATCATGTGTTAGCAGCCCATTGGCGAAACATGTTCCTTTAAATGTGGTTAAATCTCACTACAGTCTAGTTTTCTCGTCACTGTCAGACAGAGATGACATTGAGTTCCTTTAGAAGTAACACAGAAGAGGAGCTTTTCTTTTGAAAGCACGGTGAGCCTTCTTGCCCCTGTGGTGTTCTGCTTTATATCGTTAGCAAGAAAAGAGGAGCAGAATGTGTTGCATGTACAGGAACGGATCAGAACCGGCCAGGCGGCTCCATAGTTCTCTTCATCATGACACCCAGGAAGATGTTTCAGACTAAGATGTTTAAGCAAGCAGCTTTAAGATTCATATTTCTTTTTTGCTGTTTGTTGTTCATCGTGGCTTCAAGCAGGAAGCAGTCCAGTGTCTCATACAAGCAGGCCTACCAGCTGTTTTTAGCTAAAAGTGCATTAATATGTGAACGATCATGTAGATTTTGACGGATGAGACGGAGAACATCTAAACACAGGACTCAGAATGACTTATTTGGCAGAAGTGTGTCCAGTTCAGAGCAGGAAGACGCCGTAGTCCTAACACTGATCACCTTTTCTGTGGCAGCAAACGCACACTTTCATCAGCTGTTGTGCTT